CCCAACCGCCCCGCCCCGACCTACACGTCGCTCCGCCCAGCCACACCTGGCAAAGAGGACCCCGCCGACGCAAATACGGCCACCCACCACGCCCCCGCTTGGCAACGAGGACCCGGCCAACGGGCACCCCCCGCCCCGCAAGATTTTTCATGGACCCGCCCACCGCGCCCCTCCCGAACCGCTGCGCGCCGCGGTGTGCTTTCTTGTCTGGCACGTGGGGCCTGCACGCCAGCAATTTCGCAGGCCTCTCCTCCGCTGAGACCTGGACCCCGCGGTCCCGCTGCCCAATTTCGGCCTCCTCCGAATTTCGCTGGGCCCGCGACAGGGCATGTCGTCAGCCCTCTCCATCCTTTAGTATGTAAAAAAAAAAAAAAAAAAAGAGACAAGGCTACCGCAGGCTTAGACGAGAGGCTGCTGCCGTTGCTGCCAGAGTGTTGGAACAAGTCAGGGTCAGGGCACTGGGCAGTCTATTCGGAGTCTCATTTTGACTGTATTGGGTCAGAAACATCCCTTGTATACATTCATTTTCAAGGTGCCTTATGGATTCAATAGCATTTTTCATCAAACGAGATGCCAAAATGTTCTAGACATTCAGCTGATGTTCAGGGGAAGATGGTAGTCACAGAAAGAAAGGAGAAATAATTGTCATACACCAACCATGTCAGACAACCATTTCAGACAACCATGTCAGACACCAAACGCCAAACATAAGCTTTTCATTTTACCACATCCTATATGCAGTCTAACACAGACTGCATACAAACTCTCAACACAGACTGCATACAAACTCATGCTCTCAGGACAAGGAGATCGGCAGGCAACATGCGACATGTTTACATCTCACAGCTCCCTCATACTACCACCACCGATGTCGGCAGACAGTGCAATGTATTCACATACATAATTACTCTGCACCATCCAGTGCAAAGCTGAACATGAATATGACAACAACACCATGCGATGTAACATCGCACGTGGGAGAACTAAAACAACACCAGCACAAACATGTCTTGCACCGGAGAGCCGAAAGGAGGGCCTTGAGGCCGATAATCTCTTACAGAAAACCAGCGTATCTCACGAAAGCAAAAGGGATTAAAAAAAAAAAAAAACCACAGAAACTTATAATGGGACAGAGAATGCCCCGGCCTTCCAAAAAGGCTGGTCATAGGCAAACAGCCAGCACAAGAACAACGGCAACCAAGCACCGTAAGCATCCCCGCCTTCCTGACACATTTGCCACCACAGAATTAGAGCTTCCCATAAACACTGACATGCCACACATCCGGCACATCATTGAGAAAACCCTTCAGAAATTCAAAGTCATGTAACGACGACCTGCAAGAAATACTCTCTATCTACCACATTTTCCCTACCTCTGAAGGCATGTGTCGAGGACATGCAAGAAATACACTCTATGATACTCTATCTATCGCATTTTCCCTACCTACTGGTAATTGCCTGACCTAACCTGAACGCGTTGTACGCTCTTCCAGCAGCCCTTGACCAAGCAAACAGGGAGAGCAACTCAAATAGCCCGTTCATCTCTGCATAACTTGAAAAATACAACAAATACCAACTACCTACAACCTTACAACTTCAAGCAAACTCGGCTCATAATCGGAAGGGGCCTCAAAGCCCAACATATTCATGAAGGTTGCAGTTATATTCGCCAAACCGGCCTTGGGGAGATCCCTCCTGAAGCGCACATTGGAGGGCAGAGCTGGACCACCGATCATGACAGGCACCTGAGACATCAACGGCCATACAACGACAAGATACAGCAGAGGCACATCAGACAGGATGCGAAGGTCATACAACGACAAGATACAGCAGAGGCACATCAGACAGGAGGCCCCTCCTATCTCTACCAAGCTCTGGACGTGATTGCGGTCAGATTCATCTCGGTTTGGCTGGACTTGCAGTCAAATACATATATACCTGTGGATTTCACGAGGACTTCTTCTACCGAGCTCTGGACGTGATTGCGGTCAGATTCATCCTGGTTTGGCTGTACTTGCAGTCAAATACACATACCCGTGGACTTCCAGGCAACCTCAGGACACAAAGTGGGTGAAGCCGGTGGCCTGACTTCATTGAGTCCACCACGCAAGAAGAGACATTGGATCCACCAATGCATTATTTTGGATATAGCAGTGGTCGTGTGAGTATGCCCAGAGAGGTCTTTACCAAATGCTTTTCCTGCAGCTAGCCCACCGGTACATAGAAACTGTTGGGATTTCCAGTATCTCTCACGAATGAGCAATATGTCTCAAACGTGGCTGGCCAGTCCTTACATTGAATTGAACTGAGCTTTCACTCGTCCCAGCCTCTGCTTACGCCAAGGCGCTTCTTGCAGACGCGACTCCACTTCCTAGAGCCTCGCTAACCGATACACACTCCACCTTACCCACAAGGCATAAACGAAATTTCACAGAAGCTCCCGTACCCCAGTGGCAGCCCTGTACTTAATTATTTTCCACATAAATTGCCACAGACAATGAAACCAGCAAACCAGCAAACAAACAAACAAACAACATTCCCGCCCAACTACTCCAAATAATAGTAGCCCTGCACATCGTTCTTCCCCACACAAGGAGTATTAAAACAAACAAACAAACAAACAAACAAACAAACAAACAAACAAACAAACAAACAAACAAATCGTTACTTCCAACTTACCGGTGCCAAAGTGTGTGAGGTAAGTGGCAGCGGATTCCCCTTCTCGTCACGAAGAGGTTCATTCTTCTTGTTCCTCTGAACCATGTCGTCCGCGTTCCCATGATCGGCAGTAATCATGTAGGAGCCGCCTACGCTGTCGATTGCGTCCACAAGATCCTGAGTCAAACACGCAAGCGAACCAACGTATGCACACAAAGCAAAACAAAGTATACACAGTTTAAAGATGTAAGCGAAAGACAGACACGCTAGACATAAAAGTCACACACCCGTACACCCGTCTTGGCATCCGCCGCTTTACCCAATTACCAACATACGGGCTCAACCCGTTCCCTAGTCCGTGTACCGACCCTGAGTTACAGGGATCGAGGTGATGTTCTCATCCGTCTAACCGATCCATGTACCCTCGTCCTCCGCTTGCGCTCAAACACAGACGGGTGTCCATCACATGCACTCGCGAGACAATTGCTCTGATCATCTACGTATGGCATCCACGTACACAGACCCGAGCAGTAAACTCATCCACTCCCACGTCCGAACATGCACACACACACACAAAATGAGTTTGCACGTTCAGCTGCTTCAGCAGCAAAAGAATTGGACAAGAAAAAATGAAGGCACACTGCCATGGCGGATGAAGACACTGCCTGTTGGCTGAAGGATGGGCCAGTCAGCAGACGGTGCAGGTGGTGAGTGGGTATGCGTGCAATCTGTTTCCGATCAACAAGTCGGCTGGTGATGCGACAAGCATGGTATCATATGCTCTCTCTGCCTCTGATAAGGTCGTTCCAGTTCCTTTTCAGATGTGTATACTCGGTTGCATAGTCCACATGACCAACTTTCACGTTCAAAAAACTGATAGTGGTCGAGCTTTACAGATGTGCGATCACTGGACGTCGCCCAAGGCCCTTGGGTGTTCGAACTCATAGCGGTTGATCTTTAACGACGTCGCCCAACCGGTTGATCTTTAATGACGTCACCCAACCAAACCACTTTGCCTAATTACGAAAATGTCAAAATTGTTCTATCAAAAATATGACTTTTTTTTTTTAATACCCTTAAAATACGACATTATAGTATCGTTACTATCGTACTGATTCATACATAACAGCTCCCCCTCCAATTTCGTTTGGCGGCTAATTTATTGGTTTCGACGAAGTTCTTTGACCGAAGCACTTCTCTTCTGGCACGACACGGCACACTCAGCAGGAAAGGGACTTCAAAGGACGGAAAAGAGAGGCGTCATGGAAACACCATTTCTCTTTCCCCCGAACATAACGCCGCTTTTCATCCTGAACGTACAAGAACTGTCTAGCATATTTCGCTCCAATATTCGCTCCATGATGACAATGGCGAGTGTTTCGCTCGAGGGACGGTGGTTAGTGACAGGGAATGCTGGCTGATGCTGCGATGCACACACCTGAACCAGACCGAACATGCAGCATGATGCACACACCTGAACCAGACCGAACATGCAGCATGATGCACACACCTGAACCAGACCGGAAATGCAGCGATGATGGAGCACTCCACTGGGTGACGGCGTCAATGCACACACCTGAACCAGACCGGAAATGCAGCGATGATGGAGCAGTCCACTGGGTGACGGACGCCGTACGTTTCTTTTGCTTAGTTCACCGCGCAACAGCCCGTCCGAAGGCCGTCAGCTCTACAAGAGATAAAGGTTACAATTTCACACACCTGAACCAGACCGGACATGCAGCATGATGCACACACCTGAACCAGACCGTAAATGCAGCATGATGCACACACCTGAACCAGACCGGAAATGCAGCGATGATGGAGCAGTCCACTGGGTGACGGACGCCGTACGTTTTTCGAATATAGCTCAAACAAACCACAGACGTGACGCCGCGCGTGCCACCCATCACGACGACTCGGGAGGCGCCATGGCACACATTCCAGTCAGTCGGTGCTTCCAGAGTTCTAGGAACAGGAGCACGCTGGAAAACAAAACTCACGTGTGTGCTCGAACACGCCACACACCCACACGGAATTCCGATTAACAACTTGGAGAAATGGTTGGTCTTTCCGCTCACGTCTCTTTTTTTTTTTTTTTTTTTTTTTCCACTCACGTCTCAACGGCATCCGCATACTGCTCTCTGAAAAGCATCCACCATAACTTTGTCCTCATCCTTTCATGCACGTGCTCGCACGTCGGCATCTTTCCTTCAGGTTTCATCGTCTCTTCTTTGGTGGTTGCATGACCTCGTCCTCTCCTCCTTTCCCGCAGAAGATGGGAAAGTCCTGAAGATCACGTACTCGCGAGAGTAAATACTCCTGAGGTTTGAGCTACCGTCTTCCCCCGAACACAACGCACCCTTATTTTGGCTGTATCTGGTCGGAAATATAGCTTGTATACATTCATTTTCAGGGTGCGTTATGTTCGGGGGAAGACGGTAGGTATCGCTGCAATGCCCCGCATCGCGAGATCATCAGAGGCCATTACCTTTTTCTTACGCATCACCCGCGCCTAGCCTGGTTAACATGGGAGGAGGGCGATACTGGCTGAATTTTTTTCTTACAACATTCCATGTGATATGAATGGAAATGGGTGGTTCCGTACAAGGGCAATCGAATGGAAATGGGCGATTTACGCCTGAGAAAGGACAACAACACAACGAGAGTTTTCTCTACTTCTAAATGAAGCCTCACGGCAATTCTAGACGTCCAATTCTTTGAGCTTTCGCCTCCTATGGCTCTTCTAAATGAAGCCTCACGGCAATTCTAGACGTCCAATTCTTTGAGCTTTCGCCTCCTATGGCTGACGATCAACCGGCTTGAGTGGCGCAGTCCGTCTTCATTAGACTAACTAACGTGGAGATCGGAAGGAGGGACGATTAAGAAGGAAAAACAAACAACGCACACGAGGACGAAAAAAGAGAGAAGGTAACATTCACCGACTCAATCAAAAGTTCCCTCATTCATAATCATACGAACCTTTACACACTCGTCGACAACCGAGCAAGCGTCGAGTACGGCATCGAAGACACCCGTGTGGCCCACCATATCCCCATTGGCGAAGTTGATACGAATGTAATCGTGCTTCCCCGACAGTATAGCTGCTTTGGCCGCATCCCGAATCTCCCTGGCTTTCATCAGCGGCTTCTCGTTGAACGGACACAGGTCGCTTGGGACTTCGAAATACGTTTCGAGCTTATCGTCGAGCTTTCCAGATCGATTCCCGTTCCAGAAAAACGTCACGTGGCCAAACTTCTGCGTCTCACTGCAACCGCACAGCCCCCCCCACGGTGTGTCAAGCGCGCAAACGACCGCACACGCACGTTTGCAAAACAAAACACATCAATACATACACAAAGAGGAACAAGCGCGCAAAGAGCGAAAATGTGTCATCCATTCATTCACTGCTTGACCCAAAAAAGGCCTAAACAACAAGGTCGAAGAGAGAGAGAGAGAGAGAGAGAGAGAGAGAGAGAGAGAGAGAGAGAGAGAGAGAGAGAAGCGAAAAGAGAGCGTGGAAACGGTACAAGAGTTGCCCCATTTACAGACCGACCACACAGATGATAGTTTGAAATAACATGTTTGCCATTAACCGTCGGCCGTCTTCCAAAAAAGCGTACAACTAAACTCGGCCATTTTTTCGTTTTTTTTCTTCAAGACAGACAGGCGAAACATGATCCGCCACGAACATAGGCCACGTACCACAAAAGAACCTTCCCCCGATCACGACATAACTCTCAAATGATCGCAAGTGGCCGACTTATGAAAGCTACTTCCCAGTGGAGTGCCACGACCATCATCTGCGAAATCAATCCAATCCAATCACGAACCCCCAACTCTCGGAGAGCAACCGCTCGACTTGAGCATCCATCTTCATCACCAAGTGTTTCCTACTACCAAGCAAAACAAACAAACTGAAAAAAAAAAACACTTTCAATACCGATCAGAAATACTCACACAATCGACACTTTGCCCCGATCAGAAATACTCACAAAATCGACACTTTGCCCCGATCAGAGAAACTCGCAAAATCGACACTTTGACGCTGCAGTTCCAGTGGGGTCCTTCACACCTCCACAACAGCACCCAACAGAGACTGCTTGACGTACAACAATATAGATCTCATCATATCTCGTCATATCTCATCCATCCATACATCCATCCATACATCCATCCATATCTCATCCATCCATACATCAATCCATCCATGGGTAAGTCAGCGAAAGATCACCTGCAGTCAATCTAATCGTCATTAAAATCGTCATTATGTTGCAACGTTTAGAACATCGGAGGGTAGGCTCGGAGCATTAAAATCGTCATTATGTTGCAGCGAAACAGGGCATCGAGAACCAACATAGTACGTGCATCCATCGACCACCAAAACGGGTGCCAGATTTGCACGGACGCAAATAAGCTATAATCGAGGGCAGCTGAATCCAAACCTAAAAATCGTAAAAGGATCGTTCCATCGGGACTTCACGTACATGATGATTACTGCCGCCGAGCTTGCCATGACGATATCCGTCCGCGTACATGATGATTACTGCCCGCCATGCCACAAGCAGCTTCTAATTGTCAAAACATGACGACTACTGCCACCATGTTCGACCTCTCATCATTCAGCCTACTTTCATTTGACGACAAACTAGGGCAACGACAGCATTGCAAAAAATGGCTGGCAGCGAGCAAACAGCCACCTCTTCCACCTCAACCCCTCGCCTTGATGACACCCCGCCCCTCAGAAACATGCGAATGCGCCCTTCTTGCGACCATACACCTAACTTCAGTAATAAACCACCAACACCTAATTTCAGTAATAAACCACCATCCATGGTTGCGGCTCACAATGGAGAACTCGCCTCTCGTAGAGCAAGCAAGCAGCCACAACACCATCTATGATAGCAAGGAAAAGGGAAAAACACGAGAACGGAAGGCAACCAACGACAGGGAAAGGTACTCAGGAGGTTCATTCAGCGACAGGGATCGACAGGCAGGCAGGTGCCCAAAAGGTAAAAGAATTGTTAGACAGCTCTCTCTCTCACCTGCAGGCGAAAGTCCTGACACCGTTCTTGACAAGGTATATTCCTGACGTCTTTTCAATGACTGGCGGGGTTACGAGGTACCTCGCCGGCAGCTTAAGATCGCCGTCGTATTGCATCATGCCGACGAAGTGGACTTTAGGGTACCTGACCCGGTCGAATTTGTCGAAGTCAGGATACTCGAACGCTTTGCTCAACTCCACCACTCGATCGGCGCGGAAGTTGAAAATGACAACGGCATCTCCATCCTGCACAGGACCCACAGCCTCGCCGTCCTTGTCCACGATCACCCAAGGAGGGTAGTACTGGTCATTGGTCTTCGGATCCGCCTTCTTCAACTCCACGAGGGCCTCCAAAGCGCTCTGGAACTTGTGAGGAGCTTCGCCCAGGACGTGCGCGTGCCAGCCACGCTCAACAATCTTCCAATCGGCCTGCCCACGCACGTAAAGGGAAAAGAGATTCTTGGCATCAGCACCCCACACTATCCACGGACAAGCAATCACACCCATCACCTCGACTATCCCCAACACCGGCAAACAAACTGAAGGGGGTCCACAAGAGAAATGAAATGAAACCCACGTGGAAAGGGGAAGGAGAGAGAGCGCGTGTGGAGACGCGAGCAGCACACCATACCTCGTATACGACCACCTCCACAATCCACAAGGCAGTCTCTAGGGGCTACCTCCACAATCCACAACGCAGTCTGCAGGGGGTGGCGGATCGGGAGCGGCGTGGAGGGGATGAGGGGCTTTGGGGGGCGAATCAAGAGTGGCATGCATACCTCGTATCTGTCCATGGTTACATGCATGCGGCCACCGCCGGAGGCTATCCTTGCATCACATCCCTTGGCGCGCAAATCCGCGAGATCCTTCTCAAGCTGCTCGACGAATTGCACAGACGAGCCGTCGGGTACGTCGCGACCGTCCGTGAGAGGATGCACACGAATCTTGTTGGCACCCCTCTCGTGTGCGCCTCTCATGAAAAGCTCCAACTGATCGTAGCGGGAGTGAACCCCACCGTCGCTCAGCAACCCGATCAGATGGAGCGTGCCCCCGTTGTCGAAGGTCTCCTTGATATACTCGAAACCGGCATCCGTAAAGATGTTGCCATTAGCCAGAGCGTTGTCCACAAGCGCAGCCCTGCCAATCACTCAATCAATCAATCAATCAATCAATCAATCAATCCCACGAGGACGGGTCAATGCAAGCCTCTCCGCTCTATACACCGCAGAGAAGGCCACTCGTGCCTAGATTCTAATTCGTGATCTATCTTGTGAAAATTATATATTCGATTTTGTCAATGTAATAAATCGAATTCTGGATTTTGATAGAAAATCGAAAATTAAGAAGAATCTAGTTGACATTTTTATACTTTACATACTATAATATATAATAACAAACTTCTTATCATTATTATAAATTGTCTTATGATTGTTATAAATTGATAATCTATACAATTATTTTTATGAAAGTTTGGGTGAAAATTTCAATAACTCAAATACTTATTTTTCCATGACTGCTACTTTAGAAAGACGTAGCCGCAGATTCGAACTCTGCACCCTTGATTGGGGTGGGAATGTGGGCGGTTCTCGAGGCTGCTGCTTCAGTATGGCTCAGGCGCTTGTAGCCTACACCATTCCCCAGCTATTCTGTTCCGATGCGGTGGGTGCGACATCTGGCTGTCGTACCAGATCTCTCCAGTTCGACTCCATGCAGCATCACGGACGGATCCAAGGCCGGACTGAACACTTGCCCACTGCATTGGATACTTTTCTAAATGCTGCGACCCCCTCGTAAAAGCAGCGAAAAAGCTTGAGAACCGTACTGAAAGACCACCCGCGCATACACATCACTAGCGGGAGCGTCAGCTGATTAAACCCAGGGAGAACACCAGCAGGGAGACCCACACTCTTCCGGATCGTCATGGCCACATAAACGGCGGAGAAAGGGAGGGAGGGGAGAGGAACAAAGTGTGGAGGAAACGGGAAAGGGGTGATCAAGAAACGACCAAAGAGGAACGGAAAGAAGTAATAAGCGTAGCAAGCGCAAGACCCGGAAAACGACGGAGCAGGGGTCGATCGTTTTCGCGATTGATGGAGAGAAACCCAAAATTCAGATAACGACCAAACGGCCGAGGGAGAAGAAAATCGCATGTAGAGATGCCCACGGGATTAGCCGGCACGAGAACGCATTGGGTAGAGAGAACCAGGAGTGGGGACAAGAAAGAAGCAAGGAAGAAGCAAGGAACAACGCGAAGCGGAGGGCCATGGATGTCCAGTATAAAATCTCGCCGCACACCGTCAGAAGCTACCGTCTTCCCCCGAACATAACGCACCCTAAAAATGAATGTATACAAGCTATATTTCCGGCCAGATACAGCCAAAATAAGGGTGCGTTGTGTTCGGGGGAAGACGGTAGTAATATAGGACAAGGCTGTCAGATCACAGGAAGAACCTGCTGACACTTACCCTTGGCTGATGACCTTGCCAGCACCCATTGCATTGTGCCCGACTTCGCTGTTCCCCATGTCGGCGTCGCTGGGAAGACCGACAGCAGTCCCGTGCGCTTTGACGGTCCTCCAGCGATCGGGATACCCCGTCTTCAACGATTTCAGGAAGCCTGTGCCCGCCATGTGAACGCCATTGTAGTCATCCTCCAAATTCTCTCCCCAGCCGTCCATGATGATGAGCAGGAACGGCTTCCCTCTCTCGATCGCCGAATGCGGCTTAAGCGCAAATTCACATTCCGATCCCATCTTGTCTCTTCCCTTGCGGATCTGCTCCTGCTAAAAGTCGGAGGCAACTTCTTGCAACACACCCACTCTCCGTGGAATCCACAACCTCTTATCTCTCAAGGCAGAGGACGAAAAACGCGGAGAGATGTACGTGAGACGTGTGGAGAAGGAGAAATCACGATGAGCGATGCTGGTCAGCCAGCGTGGACCACGGAATCAACAAGCACCGGCGTGCAGCTACAGTGATCTAAGCGATACCGTACCACCACCATAGCCGCTACGCGACGCTGCTTGCAGATCCGCCACGCTGGCACGTCAAAGCGCCGTCTACGTCCCCCTCTCCTCCGACACATATCAATTTCACATGGAGTTCGACTTTATACCAGCTCTCAGGGACAACAGGCACGCGAGGCCGAACGCAAGCACAAGGTTGCTTTCGTTTACATTTCACTTTAGCCGCTAATAATAATGCACCCCCACCTACAAGAAGCAAATGAATACCTAAAATAATGGGCCTTGCTGCACTACTCTCCAAATGCAAAAAATAAGAATCAATCTTCCGCTAGAACATGGAAAGATACACCGCCGTATTTTTTGTCTTTTGTGCATGTGGAGAGTAGTGCAGCGAGGCCCAATGGTCACCTATTTATAGCCTTCCAAACATTTTAAAAAAATACAGAGTAGGAGCTATCTCAGTAGGTTCAAGGTGTAGGTTGTCAAGCAAAGGGTCCAAGGAACGAATCCAACCAACCCCTACTGTCAAGGAGCTCCCCAACATTAAAAAACAAAACAAAACAAAAGAAAAAAAAGAAAACGTATATCGCAAAAAAGAAAAAAAAGAAAAATTAGGGTCTCGCTGCGCCAGTCACCAAATGTGCAAAATGAGAATGAATCATTTCGTAGAACATGGAAAGATACACGGCCATAATTTTTGTCTTTTCTGCAGGTGGTGAGTGGTCGAGAGAGGCCCGTACAAACCCAAGAGAACAAAATCATTCTGTGAAGGGTCAGCTCAATGATGATTCAAGGGCGTCGGCCATCTTTACGAAAAAGAACCCAAAAGGAATAAAAAAAACAAGAAGGAAAGGACTCTTCGAAAGTTTCTGGGGCAATTTTTCGTGAGTTGAGAGTGGTGGAGCCAGACCCAATAAGTGCATATAATGTACAGTATAAGGGCGTACTCACACTACCGTAGTAGGACTGCTTGTACTCAGCTCTTTGGACGTGATTGCGGTCCACGTCGGGCCGTAATCGCAGTCAGACACTTTTTTTTTTTTTTTTAAGTGCCGTACGCCCTGAGAAAATCCATTTCCAAGAGGCTGTGCCATTTTTTCGGACGTGAGACAGAATGAGCACACGGAATTTGGTCGGGCCATTCATGAAACGGAGATGACAAGAGGAAATGTTGGGGGAAGGGGGGCATGCACCGACCGCGTGTCCCCCTATCCCCTTGTGAATCTGTTTCGGTATGACGTGAGACAGTATCAGCGTGACTGATCGGGCTGGACTCCTTGAAAAGGGTACGAGATTTGGTGTCAGGGTCAGGAAGCCCATTTGTCCTTGAGGATATTGCAGGACCTGGGATGACTGAAATACCGCAGCAAAAGAAGATGTGGAGGCCGTGGAGGCCTCTGAAGGTGCAGTTGGGACATATGGAGCAGATGCAGATTCGGTGGACCTCCCCCCCTCAATGTGGGGTAAATGTCCCAAGCATTCGTGAATGTTGCACAGGGGAGGTGACCTGAGAGGATGGAGTTGTGGCTGTGGCCAGGGGGAAGTCTACGCCTCCCCTCCACACATGCCCTTCAACCTCTATGAGATGGAAGTGGCCTTCTATCAACTGACCTCTTTTGGTTTTGCTAATCTCAGTATTTGTCATTCGCAAATTCACACGTGATTAACCGGCCCGGGGGTGTTCTGTTTGCTGAATTTTGCATAGAAACTGTCATATTGTGCTGTTTTTTTATTTTTTTCTTGTTCTTCTTTTTGTGTGATACATAGGTGCTTTAGTGTACATCATGTGTCCAGTTTTAACATGTTTAGAGCAATAATGAAAAAGTTGGCATTTTTGTTGGGTTCATTGAACGCTTCATTTTATCTTGGAAAGTGTTTTGTGTTAGGGTTCTTTAGTGTTTTTTGTGTTTGTTAATTCATTTTAGTTGGCCTGTTTGTTTTCTGGATGTTTGTGCTATGGGTCCATATAGTTTGCTTTTGAATTTTTCACTGAATTTTTCACTGAATTTTTTACTGAAACTGTTGATGAAAACAGTGCATTAATCCAGCGGCCTAGCTCAGTTGGTAAGGCACGCAAGTGGCATTCAGGAGGTCTTGGGTTCAATCCCCATTGGCCTCGTGTACCTTCCTGGGCATGCTTGGCGCCGCCACCTAGAGATAGCCCGTCGGTCCCCCCAATTGGCATTAAAAAGCAGTCTCTGCTGATGTTCATAGGGGGAGGGGTACTCAGGGAGGCACAGCGACTGGCCACTCAGATGATGCTCGGTCCCTCTGCTACCGGCTGTCCCCTGGTCGGTGCCCCCCAGTGGGGGATCCCTGAAGGCTATCAGGCCACCCTGGGCTGAAAAGGCCACCGCTGTCAGATTAGACACAAGATTGAATTTACCTAGGCTGGTTAGTCCGATGATAATACCTCAAGGCCATCGCCCTTTT